TTTTATATATATATATATATATATATAGGCCTATATACGCATACATATATATATATATATATACTTATATAATATTATATATAATTTATACATATTTATTTACATTATTTTTATAAATAATATCATATCAAAAAACAATACCGTACTAAGAGAAATACCAAATTTTTAGTACTGTATTCATTTTATTTGCTGTATTCGTTATGTAGTAGTAAGCATAGGATCGATAACAAAATGATAATAAAAACCGTCCGATAAAAGAGTAAAATGGTACTAGAAATGCAGCAAACTAGAAAATAACCTATAAATACCATAATATTAATTAAAATTTAGTTTAATAATAATAGTATTAATTTCATTTGCTTTTAAGTAGAATATGTTGTTGAAATACAACAAAACATAAATTTTAAAAAAAGTATGATAAACCGATTGACGAACTTAAATGATAATTAGGCCTAGTTATTTTAAATTTGGCATTTTCGCAACCCCATTGACGCTCCATATATTTGTTGAAAACAAACCGCGACCGAAGTGAGGCGCGACCGAAACGAAGCGCGACCGAAATTATCTGTATTCACCATAGCTAGGTCATGACAAGCTTCTCCGGTGGGGACCGTCGCATGGGTAAGCGGGGTCATGATGAGAATAGAGCATAATTTGTGGTGGTTCTGTCGCTGGAAGAAAAATTTTAGCCCTTGAAGGGGAGGGGTTCTGATACCATTCCCTTCGTTACCATATCGGAGGAGAGCAACGACAGAAATGGTACCTTATAATTCAATCAGCGTTGGTAATGGAAAAGAATACTGGGAAATTGAGAAGATATCAAATCAAATCGGTATTAATTTGTAAAATGCAAAGTTTTCCAAGCCTGTATTCCCAGTGGGAGGGTTGGTGCGATGGTTACTTTGAAAAGGTCCACGTTTCAATGACGGTCTAGAATGTAATGTATATAGAATTTTTGATTTTCTGTGAATTAAAAAATCTTAAATATTTACATGTTAACCAGTAATCTATTGTTAGGCCAGTTATCATATATGTCGTCATTGTTATGCAACTTACCATTTTCCACCAGATACGCCCAGGGCAAGAAAGACGTACGTATAAAGTGTCTTGCCAAGTAAACAACTACAGAATTTCATGGCAGGAGAAAATCACTGAAATTAGTCTTCAAGGTCTGGTTCAATAATAGTTCTCTAAAAACATTTTTTTAAAGTTCCCTATTCAATTTTTAACAGAAAAATAAAATAGCCAAAAGTTTTAGAGGCGATTGATTCCTGATGATGACATAATTAATGTTGAAATATTGAATCACGACACGATGGCGTGCATTGATTACCGTATTGTGTTAGTTGTAATTGTGTATTCTTTGATTCAAGTTTTAACAAAAACTGAAAACTTTAATCAGTACCTCAAAATTGTTTAAACAAAAACGTAGGAAGTTCTAGGGACTTGGATCACTTGAAAAGAGGAAAAGGAGAGTTTAAGAGGAGCGTTTAATATTTGTAAGTTCCTCTAGTACCAGGATGTACGAGGTTGTTTATACTTTAAAAGGGATAGGGTGCATTTAGCACAAGATTCTAAATTGAATTGTGCATTAGCATAGGTGTTCTTTTACAATTTTATGTAATGATTTTGAGTTTTTGTTAAAAATAATTCAAAGAATACAAAATTGAAATGAAAACAATACGGTAATCAATCGCCTCTAGAACCATTGGCTGTGTAATTGTTCTATTAAAAATAGAATAGGAAACGTTATTTGTTAAAATTAAAAGTTTTAGTAGAACTATTATCGAACCAGACATTTAATATATGATTTCTCCTGCTATGGAATTCCGTAGTTGTTCACTTGGTCTAGACACTTTATACGTTCGCCTTCCTTCCTGGGCATATCTGGTGGGAGCTGAATGAACTTGGAAGTGCTGTACATGCATGACAACGAATACTACCCCCAGAAAGCAAAAAGAGCAGTTCGTATTTAGTGCCTGTTGAATAACAGTTCGAGAATAGCGGGGTTCTGAGGGTTTACAGTATAACCAAACTCCCAATACCTGTAAGCCTACTATATAACTTTTTTATTATTATTATTTAATTTTAAAATGTATGTTTGTATTTTATGCGCTGTAAATAAGTAAGTAACTTTAGTAGTTTTTAATTCGTTTAATGAAGTTGTTAAAAGAGATGTTTATTTTTATTATAGTCGAATGTATTATGTATATTTGACTGCATGTGCTGTCGGGATCGCCCCGTGACCATTGCAGGTTGAGATCCATGGCTAAATGGAAAAAAAGGATTAGCCATTATCTTGTGATTAATCTCTTAGGTTATCACACCTACACATAAGCAATCCTTGACTAATGCACATTTATTTTATAATGTTATGCCATAAGTTATATAGTGGGCTACGAATAATGTTGTATTTCATGATTTTGAACATTTTCACGCTTTTCCCGTTAAAATTTGATAAGTACTTACGAAGATATTAATCACTGTTTTTGGTAAGGTTTTAGTCAGCTATTCAATATAATACCTTACACCCCTC